TTGACCAACCTCTCCAGGAAATTCTTTAATTTCATTATATTTTCAAAGAACAAACTTTTGGCTCCACTGGTATTTAAAATTTTATTTTTGTTTGCTGTTTGTTAATTTGTTATTATCTTTTTTTGGTCTGTTTTCTCTGTATTTATTTTGCTCTTCTTTGTCTAACCTTCTAAGATAGATGCTTCGCTATTATTATTATTTTTTTTTTGGTACTGGGGATTGAACTCGGGACCTTGTGCCTGCGAGGCAGGTGGGATTTAGTTCAGTGGTTCTGCCTTCTGCCTGGCAGGCGCAAGGTCCCAAGTTTGATCCCCGGTACCAAAAAAAAAAAAAAGCATTTGAGGTTACAAATTTCCCTCCCATTTACTTATATCCCTCAGTTTTAAAACTAGGTATTTTAATTACTTTTCCATTCTAAATAAGATCTAAAGTATGTTTTAATCCCCCAAATTTGTGTTTTCATTAATTATCTTTTGTTATCATTTTCTAATTTAATCATATTGGGGTCAGAGACTACAATCAGTAAAATACTGAGCCGCTGAAATTTGTTTTGTGGTATAATGTGTTGTCAATTTTTATAAATGTTTCTGGTTGGCTTAAAAGTACAACATATTTTGCAGCTGGGTCATGGGATTTTGTTAATTTTGTTTGCTTTATGTCACGATTGCTAATTTGTGTTTATATCTCCAAATAAGACAAATTTCTCCACATAATTTGGTTAATTTTTTCTTTTGAAATTCTGAAGTTATGTTATCCAGAATTTATATGTTTAAAATTCTTTCATCTGTATGGTAAGCTGTATTTTTCATTTTTGTTTAGTAGCCCTCTTTACTCTAGTAATGTTTTTGTTTATAGTTTATTTTTGTGGGATTAAAATAAATATAATAATCTTTCTTTTCATCAATATTTGCCTAGTATATATTTTCCTATACTTTTTTCTTCCAAATTTTCTGAATCTTCAATTTTTCAATGTGTCACTGTAAACAGAATATACCTGGAGTTTTATTTTTTAATTCATTTAGACAATATGTATCATTTAATCATAGACTCTAATCCATTTGTTTAAATTACTGATTTCATTTCACTTATGCCATTACATCTTTCCATGTACTCTGTTCATTTTCTATTCTTTACTTCTCTTGGATATTTTCACAGTCCTTTTTTATCTTGGTCTGTAAGACGCTTTTCACATTTTGTTTGCAAGCTAAACACCCTTTTCTTATGGTTTAGTAATTACCCTAAAAATTGTAAATGCTCACTTAATTTTGCAAAGTCCAAAGTTAATTTTTTACTCTTTTCCCAAATAATTATAGAGATTTAGATTTTAACTCCCAAGTTTCTTCCTTACTATATGCTATTGTTTTTATGTATTCTAATCAAGCTTTTATTTTTATTACTTCCCAATATATTATTGTTTCATGCAACAATTTTTCAGATTTCCCCTATATTTACTTTTTTTGCTGTTCAATCATTCTTGCAGCTTATATTTCTCATGAACAAAGTACATCTTTTCAGATTTCATTTTTTTAGGGTCTGATAGGGGCAAATTCTTTCAGCTTTTGTTTGCCTGAAAGTATCATCTTCTTTCCTTTTCTTTTGTAAGAAAGAAACACAATCATAACAGAATTCTCAGTTAATGATTATTTTCTCTTTGGTTCCTAGTGCTGGTGCTGGTACTCAGTTGAAGTTTGTTCCTTTTTTGAAAATATTAAGGGTATTTTAAGGTTGCTTTTCCTTTACATATGTGTTTTGAGTAGTATGTCTGTGTGAATCCTTGCCATTTACCCTGGGTAGTGTTCACTTAGTGTCGTGAATCTGTGTAACTAGTGTCTTCCAATCTTGGGAGATGTTTAGCCATAATGTTCTTTCATATTGCTCTTCCCACCCGCCTAGAATTCAGATTAGATGTGTGTTAGATTTCCCTGCTTCATTCCTCATGTTTCTTAGCTTTCATGTCCTATTTTCTATTTCTGTCTCTCCAAACTGCATTCTAGGTAATTTCTTAAATTCAATTTTCCAATTCATTAATTCCCATTCAGCTGTGTCTAATATGCTGTGTAAACTGGCCCATGGAAATTTTAGTTTCTATTACTATTTTTTTAATTTCTAGAAATTCTGTTTAACACTTCTTCAAATCTTTTTGTTCAATATCACATTTCTCACTTTTTCTTCTACTTCTGGAAGTTAAAGTGAGGACTCGTATATTCTAGGTTTGATAATTCCAATATCTGAATGAGCAGTATGATTTTCCACTGTCATTGTTTTTTTCTCTAGCACACAGTCTTACTTCCTTTTATATAAAGTGTTTTCTTCTTTTGCTGTGAGTGGGTAATTTTACTGGGAACAGCATTCATTTCTATTATTATTTATTCTTTTGCCATTTCTTTCTTTTTCTGGTATTCCTATTAGCTGGAATTTTTATTTTCCCACCCTCATTAACTGTGTATCTTATTAAGCCTCTTTCATATTTTCTATCTGTGTTTCAGTGGGTTTTACTGTTTGTTTTTTAAAACAGTTTCAATGTATATTCTAGGCTGGCCTTGAAGTTACTCTGTAGTCCAGGCTGACTTCAAACTGATGGCGATCCTCCTGCTTCAGCCTCCCCAGTGCTGGGATTACAGGCATGTGCCACCATGCCCAGCTTTGCACTTCAGTTTTAACTCTATATCCCACATTCTAGACTTCTATTATCACCCATCCCTTTTATAAAATTCTATTAGTTTTTAATTTTGCTGATCTTATTTTAATTCTCAAGTGTTTGTTTATTCAGTAATTACTTCAATTTGTTCACTCTTTATTTAATATAAACCATTTCAGATCTTTTTGGAGATTACAGTTATACTTGAAACTTTCTTCTTCTTGTTCTTGAATTAACTAGGTTCCCTCTGGGGCCTAGGTTCCTCTGGGTGGTCATGGGTTACATATTTGTATGTTTGAATAACAGGCTGAGAAACAAGGTAGCTGGTGCAGCTTTCCTGTGTCAGTATACTCGCTGATTCTTCTAATACACTCACTCCTTGTGGGGAATGGCTGATTTAAAGGCTAGTTTGTAAGAAGACAGGGCATGTTGACTGCAATATCAGAGAAAAGAAGCTTCCAGGAAAACTGCCCTCTACTGCCCCCTCAACAGGAAATAAGCCAGGAGTAATGACACATGCTGTGATCTAGCACTCTGAGAGGCTGAGGCAGGAGGATTCCAAATTTGAGGCCAGCCCCGGGAACTCAGCAACTTAGCAAGACCCTCTCTGAAAATAAAATATCAATATCAAAAGGCCTGGGGATGTAGCTCAGTTAGGATAGTTTAATTCTCAGTACTGAAAAAATAAACAACAGAACAGAATAAGAAGTACTTTTCTTTGGACTTGCAGAGGTTTTATTTCTCTCCTGAGAAAGTTGACTTTTCTTCTACCACTTATTTATGTCTCTTTTTAAGGTCTGGTGTTACCTTAGAATCTATTGTTTCTCTCTTATATATCAGTTCCCAACTAGGAGTTTTGGTTGACTGTTCATTTTTAAAGTAGATACCATTGTGTCTTTTGTTCTTTGGAGCTCTTTGGGAGGAAAATCAGACTGAAAGCTCTGTGTGAGAGTCAGTTGGGATGGGGATTTGAGGGTAAAAGTGGAAGTGTGGCCCAGTGTTGCCACTGGCCATCTAGTCTCTCCTGGGGCTCTGGAGCCCCACCCCCCCTCAGCTTAACTGCTCTTTGATTCTTGTTCTGCAGGTCTGGACTTTCCCTGCTTGTCAGCAGGCTTCCTCTCTATTTTCTGTTTTCCATAAATGCAGGATACATAACCAGAAACATAAGTTTCTGGTTTGCTGATGGCACACTTTCATGCTCTCAGCGCTGATGTGGGTTTCTTTCCATTTCTATAGCTTTATGCTTCATAAGTGGGATTGTGAAGGATGAAAGACATACTTATGCTCAATTGCCACCTGGACAGGTGTTCTCCTAACTTTAAAAATATAACCACACTTCACTGATGTTAGTGTTTACATATTCAATAGGCTAGTCAATATCTTAATGATAACATAAGCTTACTGAGCATTCAGAAAGCAAGGGCAAATTTGTCTTAGAAAAATTCCTCCCTGGTACCTGAGCCCACAGCAAACCCCAGCAGAGGGTGGGATAACTGAGTGACGCTGCCCATGTGTCATGGTGCCACCATTTACCCGACACCTTTCTCTAGCTGTGCTTCCACAGGCATTTATCTGAACATCTTTTCTTTCCAGTCCTTGAGGCGCAGATGCCCCGTGGGTGAGCCTTGCCCCACAGACCTATCTCCTAGCTCAGAGTGAGCTTCATCTTCGGACATAGCTTTGTAATTGGCAAAGGGCATTCTCTGCTCCCTGTTGCTCATGAAACTAACAAAGCCCTGTCTTTGTGAGCTGCTCTCGGCCCATGAAAAGGATAGCTTATGCATTTTTAATGCCCTAGACCGCATTAATACCAATTAGTAGTGGCAAAGAAGAGAATTAAAACACTACTTCATGGAATGCTCTTCTCTTTGATGACAAAGCCCATGTGTTTTATTAACCACTGATTCCAGGAGGACGCTACTTCCTGAAGAGCCTAGCCTGTCTTTTTCTGGAATAGGGCATGGCACACATATCTAGCAAGTTTTGACTTTTCTTCATAGATTCTAAGGTCATTTATCTTGAGGTCTTCTGATTTTGTTTGCCTATTCATTTTCTTTTAATTTAGACAACTCAATATTTGCCTTTTAATTTTTCCCTCTCCACATATACTAGGGACTGACCGATGTTTCTTTCTCCTAGGATCACTTTGAAATTCCCCACTTTATGTTTTGCATATCAGCACTCAAGATCACTCTCAATCTTATCATCCATTCAGGCAGTACTTGAACAAATGGCTCTTTTCCCGCCTTGATTATGTTTTTCAGTGAGTTTCTTGTAAACCTACTGTCTATCACATCTACCCTCTGCCTCTTCCTGGCCCCTGCCACACTCACACAGAAAGTGGCAAAGAAGCATTTCTTACTTGGGTTATTGTGTCCAGAGGGTACCAGCGGAGAGTCCTGAAACAAGAACAACAACAAAAAAATCAATTAATTTTTTCATTTTGACTTTCCAAACCCACATTGAATGTAGGATATATTATTGGTCATTCAGAACATATCCACTGTTCATAATACCAAAAATCGTAATGAGAAACATGTACAAGAATGTGCTTGTACAGCAGTTCTGGGAATGGAGTTCACAATCACATTTATCTTGCAGTATGACTTCTTGTTTCGTTTATTTAGGTGAAATTCACATAACATAAAATTGGCATTTTGAAATGGACAATTCAGGAGCGTTTAGTACATTCACAGGGCCGTGCAACTTCCTCTACCTAGTTGCAAAATATTTCCATTATTCCAAAATAAAACCTCTTACCCATTAAACAGTGTCTCCCAGTTTCCTCTCTCCCCTCAAACCTGGTAATCACCAATTTCCATTGTGTCTATGGATTAACCTTCATATTGTATGAGTCCATATATAAGCATTTGTTGATGGGTGCTTAGGCTGTGTCCACCCTGTGAATACTGGGAACAGGGCTGCTATGACCATGTATGTGCATGTACCTGTCTAGTCTTTGTTTTCAATCTTTTCCTATATATACCTAGAAGTAGAGTTTTAGGGCCATAGGTAATATTATGTTAAAGATTTTGGGAACTGCCAAAATGTTTTCCATAGGAGCAGAACCATTTTGCAAAGAACAAGGGTTCCAATTTCTCCACATCCTTGTGAATATTTGTTATTTTCTATTTAAGGAAAACTCTAACCCTCCTTGAGAATGTAAACTGGTATCTTATTGTGGTTTTGATTTGTATTTTCCTAAAAACAAATGATGTTGCATATCTTTTTTTATGAGTTTGTTGACTCTTTTTATCAACTGCTTTACAGATCTTTGGGGAAAACCCTACTCAAGTCCGTTTGGTTTTAAAATGTGACTGGTTGCTTTTGTGTTGTTGGGTTGGAAGAGTTCTTTATACAGTCTGGATACTACATCCATATCAGAGACACGATTTACCAGTATTTTCTCCTATGCTGGTGGTTGTCTTTTCCCTCCTTGAAGCACAAAAATTTTACATTTTTTTTCTGTTACTGGAGTTCGAACTCAGACCTTGCGCATGCAAGGCAGGTGAGGTGCCACTGAACTAAATCCCTGGCCCAAAAGTTTTACATTTTGATGAAGTTTAATTTGTCTATATTTTTCTTTTGCTGCTTGTGTTTTTTGGGTTGTATCTAAGAATCCATTGCAAAGTCTACAGTCATGAAGATTTAATCTTCTCTTCTGCTATGAGGTTTATGGTCTTAGGTCTTATATATATTTACTCATTGATTCCATATATTATTGTCTTTGAACCTAATTCATACATCAAATGTACCCTTATGGCCATCACTTTTGTGCAGAGGAGGTTGACAACCCTCCCTTCGGGGACACTTTACTGAACAACTGGTGTTAATCTCACAGCAGTTGATGAAAAGATTATTATAGATATTCATTTATCTACAGTGGCACAAATCCAGTCATAGGCAGCATTTTAAGTTTAGTTAATACTCAGGTAGAGATTGTATTAAAATAAAATATGAAATTTTGTGTTGAGAATCCACATCCTCTTTCCTTGAAAAATACTCATTTAATATAAAATATAAGGGAGAGTTATAAGGAATAAATTGAGATGGTAAGAATGTAAAGAAAATAAGTAGCAGCACATAAAATCCAACAAAACTCCTTTGTAATTCTGGTATGTGGAACAAAAATCCAGTGAAATAGAATTAACTTCTATTATGTGGCTTAACATATTTTACCAGATTTTTGCTTTATGAAGACAGTTGTTATGGGGTAGGGGATATCATTTAATGGGACTTGTGGCATATTCAAATCCAGGAAATGATGACTGCTTTAAAAAGGAATTCCACTGGCACAGTATATAAAATGAACAGGTCTGTGGGTAGGATTTGGGTGAGAAAATTGGGGAGGGAAAGGATTTCTGCTCTGTGAGGCAGACTAAGTCACATACAGGTGCCTAGTAAACCTCTTTCGAGGTTGATAATAATGAGCTATTCACAGGAAGAAAATGAGCAATTTAACTTATTCCAAGAGTAAATTTTTGCGAACAGTTACAGGAAGATGAAATATTGTTCCCAAAGTTCACTCTGGGTGAACTGTCTCCCTTCTGTTTTCATTAGAGTTCATATTTGAACACAAATTAGTTCTAGTTTTAATAAGTCTGCGCTAGTTTGTCCTCTGCGCTGTCTGTAGATTCTGGCTTTCGGAAGCATCCTGTCCTAGACAGGAAACTTACTACTCAGGGACAAGGATACAAACTGAGATAGTTTCCAGCATTCAGCTCATTCTTAAAATACAAAAGAAATTTTTCTCGACTGTTTGCTCCCAGTAATGGATGGGAAGTAGAATTTTCTATTTCTTGACGCATCTAAAAACTCTGGCAATGACTGTTGACACAGACTCTTCAGCAGAGAGCCAACAGCAAGCTTACAGATGCCTGAATTATTTGATTACATCCTCTAAGATCACCAATCACACCAAACTTCAAATTTTAACTAAAATACTCGTGTAGTTAATGATTTTATTATTTCTACTTTGCATGGGGAGTGGAGAGAGAGGCAGAAAATGGATAAAGTAATGAGCACACACACAAAAAAATCACTGTAGGAGAGGCAAGAATAAAATTAAAGACTAGGCCTGTTGTTCCATCTCATGTTTCTAGCTGCTCTCTTCGGGTGGTTCCTTGAACAAATTGTAGCTCAAATACGCTGACTCATTTAAGCCCAGTGTCCTTGGTCTGAACGATTCTGTGGTCACAAATGATGTTCCATTATCAATCATAATGACACCTGGTCAATGTGACACCAGCCTACTCATGGAGGTATCAGCTCCCTTAAGAGTTTTTCCCAAGTTTAGGACCACAGGGCACCGTCGGTACTTGATGTCCATAGTCCTGCCCTGGCCAGGGTGAAGCCTCAGAGCCCCACAGAATTGCAGGTCTATCTTGCTCACAGACCAGAGAAAAGCTGGGTTTGCAGTGGAGGGAGACAAGTTCTCCTTTCTCCACAGGGCCAGCGATGAAGTTCTTTCTATTTGTGAGCCTCCTGCCACCCACCCAGATATCCACATTCCTATAGCTTCTGTCTCAAAGGCCACTTTTCCCCGAAAAATGTCTTCTGTAAGTGGATGCCAGGTAGCAGCTGGTCCTCTCAGTGCACTTTCATTTTCATTTTCTCTGGGAGCAGGATGAGGCCTGCAGGGCTCTGTTCCACTCCTTGAGGATTGGGAAGGGAGCCCAGCAAGTGAGGAAGGGAGGTGATGTGCAGACAGATGATTCTAACCCGGGGCCTAAAGTGGTGATGTGGTGGCCAGGCTCCAGTGCTTCAAGCCTGAGGTCCCTGCCCTCGCTCCCTCTCCTTGGAATAGAGTTCCTGCTGCTTTCTGTTTTTACCTAGAAAACTTCCTTCTTCCTTCTGGGCTCTGCACAAGTAAGCTCCAGGGAAACCTATTCTTTGACATCTTCCTGGATGTCAGGAAGACAAAGCTGCTTCTCTGTTTTTGATGCACTGTGTCATACCACCATTACCGTCATCATCTTCTAAACTATGACTTTGTTTTGAACAGAAGAAAGCTTTACTGAAGTACAAATGGGGAAACTGCACGTATGTGAAGTATACCATTAGACAATAAGCACCATAAAGACAATGCTACTCTTATGACTGTCTTGGCCCAAGGTTGGATCTGTAATACCTACTCATTAAAGAAAACAGAAAATCAGTAGAAAAAAGAGGTTACCTATCATCCCATAACAGGACATTTCTGAGGTTAATTCGATGCCTTTGGTTTGTCAGGGTCAACCTCAAGTGTGAGGTGAAGCACATTAAAGGGAAAACCAGTCCCAGTGACTTAGAAGAGTATCTACAGATTGGAATATATTTTTTCCCATCTTTAAATCCCGAAGTCCCAACACCTAAACTTTTCTTTGCCACACAGAAATCTGAAAACTCCTTTAAATGTGGTATTTAGCGGGGAAGTAAGGTTCATATCAATCTTTTTGCTGAAGACAGAAACAATCAGGCACACTGGCATCCAAGAAAGCCCTTCCACCAAGCACTGTAGTAGACACCCATCCTATCTCAAGTGCCATATGCCACCCAAATTGTACGAGACTGCGTTATCTCATGTACCACCATGAAAGAAAACTGCTGCCAATTAATTATAAGATGCTGTCAACTGTAACACAAATCCCAAGTTTTGAGACTTTAAAATGTGAAAAAAATATGTGCTTTGGACTGATGAAATACAGCAGTTTTTCAGCTATGTTTTTAATGGAGGACAGCATTATCCTGTGAGTACATTTCTTACAAATGACTTTTTGGAGCCAGGCATGGTGGCACACACCTGTAATCCCAGCACTCTGGGAGGCTGAGGCAGCGAAATCGCAAGTTCCAGCTCATCCTGGGCAACTTAGCAACTTAGCAACTTAGCAACTTAGTGAGACCCGGGGCCGGGGATTTAGCTCAGTGGTTCTGGCACCTGCCTCGCAAGCGCAAGGTCCTGAGTTCAATCCCTGGTACCAAAAAAAAGTACTACTGATTTTTGGGCCGGGGATTTAGCTCAGTGGTTTTGCCACCTGCTGCGCAAGCGCAAGGACCCAAGTTCGATCCCCAGTACCAAAAAAAAAAAAAAAACCAAAAATTTTTGCCTTGTAAGCGCAAGGACCCAAGTTCGATCCCTGGTCTCAAACAAACAAACAAACAAACAAACTTAGTGAGACCCAATCAAAAAAAAAAAAAAAAAGGCTGTGGATGTAGCTCAATTCAATTCAAGATCCTGGGTTCAATCCCCAGTACCAAAAAAAAAAAAAAAGCCAAAAAGCATTCCAGTTAGATCTCTCTACTTGCTTATCTACCAGTCCATCATCAGAATTTCAAAAGGTAGGAAATGGAAATTTATGCTTATATTTTTAGACCCCCATGTACAGTTAATCACCATAGGAAACATAACCATCTGATTTGGCCATGTCTGTGTTACTCACTAGTCACTCTTTTCTTGTTCCTAGTTTAGAGAGCTCAAAACAGTTGAAGTAATGTAATTTATAATGTAATTTGTAATTGATTTAAATATGTATTTTGAAGTAATGCCAAACATGAAAGTTTGAGTGCACATGTTTTGTTGGAAGCATGCTAGCAACCCAAGGAAAGAGGTACATAACAAACTTTCAGACTTCAAAGCATTTCCCTTCACACTTGCTGGCTTTCCCTAGCATTCTAGCATACACAGAGAAAGGCGGGAAGTCTAGCTTCCACAATGATGCTAGAATTCTTCTGTATATGGATTTAATAATCAATCAGCAAGAATAGTTTCAGTCCAGGTCTTAAGCATCAGCCTCAGCACCCATGGTCACGGGTGAAATACTGCTGAGTTTGGAAATACCCCTTCTTGGGAATGGAAAACATTCTACACTTTTGAGTTCTTTATTTGCATTTCAAAACTTATGAGATTGCAGCAAAATGAAAGGGAAAAGGGCAAAGCAAACCCATTTTCTTCTCTCTTGGTTGAAATTCCTGATAATGGCAGCCAATTTCAAGGAGACACGCAGTCTTTGCTTTACCAAATTCAATTACTTCTGAGATTTGAAGAATGTCTAGTAGTGTTTGTCTAGGGAATTGTGACTCCAAATCAAGTTCTCGGAGAACAGGGGAAAAAAAAACCCTGCCAAGTTCATTATCAATTGAATTTACTATATATTATGTCCCTCAATACTTGGACAAAATGAGAAAATTCTCAAAAGTGTTTACCTAATTAATTCAGTGGCACTGGTAACTCAGGATGCAATAAAATTGACTTTTCTTTGTGAGATCAAATGGCTCCTTTAATTTTAATAAGGCCTTAATTTCATTGATTATTAGTCATTTTGGAGATTTTGCCCCTCAGATTCCTTAAACAATTCTAGTTCAACACATTAGCAATAATAATACTCTCAAACATTAATAGTCTAATGAATGAATTAACTGAGTGTCCAGCTTTCAGAATGCTAATTTGTTGAGATAAAGGCTAAAAGGGGTGCACTCAAGGGCTGGGGTGTAGTTCAGCAGTAGACTGCTTGCTTTTCATGGAGAGGCCATGGGTTCGATCCCCTACACTGCCAATAAATAAACAAATAAATAAGGTGCACTCTACGTCAAAATTAATGTATCTTTATAGCAGGGAGAATAATGGTACCCGAAAGATGTCTGAGCCCTAATTACGAATGTTGCTTCCCAAGGAAAAAGAGGTTTTATGTTAAAGATTTTGAAGTTGGGCGTTACTCAAGTAATTCCAGCATAATCACAGGGGTCCTTAATAAGGGAAAGAAGGAGGCATAAGAGTTATGGAAGGTGTGGCAAGAGAAGCAGAGGTGAGAGTCATGTGACATGAGTAAGGAAGCCTCTAGAAGGAGGGAAAGGCAAGAAACAAATTCTCCCGTGGAGCCTCCGGAAGGGATCGGCCCCGCCCACTCCCTGATGCTCAGTGAACCTTCTGGCTTTTAGATCTCCACCTCCAGAGTGGTGAGGCAGTCGTACATGTGTAATTTGTTACAGCAGAAACAGGAAACTAAGGTAGTTTTGTTTCATTTGCATAAGATAAATGATCAGTACTTACAGTGAGCTTTTTGGGGGGAGAAAAAAAGGCATTATCAAAATCATGTAAAGTTTCTACACTTTGTGAAATCACTTTTTCTTTGGCAAGGCAAAACGATCTAGAGCAAAATAGTTCCATGCAACTCCTAAGTAGCCCTAAAGAACACACATTTTTTTTTCATTTATACTTGAAATTCTCCACCTTTTAGATAGATAATAATGTATCTTTTTAAATGAAAAGTAAGATACTTTCTTAAAAGTTGAATTTTTAAGCTACAGTTGAGTTTCTTTTTTGTAATTTTTTTATTTTATGAAAAAATAAAACAAAATTTCATAATCAAACAAGAGAAAGACAATGGTTAATATACTATGTATCATTGTTTTCAAAGTAGTTACTCAGCAGATAAAAAAGATGTTCTCTTACAAAAAAGAAACAATCAGAAAATAACATATTGTTGGCTTTCTGTACAATAAATCTCCAGATCTTACTTATCTTGCATAAATGAAACTTTTTACCCTTTGACTCAGCATTTCCTACTACCCCCTCCCTTCAGCAACCCTGAAAACAGTACTGTATTCTCTGCTTCTGTGAGTTTGACTATTTGGGATTCTACTTATAGGTAAGATCATGCAGTATTTGTGTTTCTGTGTCTCGTTTATTTCACTTAGAAAAAAGTCTCTGACACATATGCCATATGAAAAATAATATACATGAATGATATATCAGAAATATGACTGTAGTTAATAATATTATGTTGTTGTAGTGCATATTTGAAATTTTCTCAGAGGGCAGATCTTTAGAAATTTTGAGAGGGTAGTTTCTTATTGTGAAAAAAGAAAAGAAGAAAACAGGAATTATGTGAGGTTATGGACATATTAATTACTTGGGTTGTGATGATTATTTCACAATATATACAGATATAAAAACATGATGTTGCTCAGCTTAAATATACCTAATTTTTTTTGTTAGTTATACCCCACTAAAGCTATAAAATTAAATTTTTGTACTAATGATTTAAAGTCTCAGTTTCACCTCAGAGTTAAGCTATTGTTTATGCTTAAGTATTTATTTGAAATGAACAAAATACATTTTAGAAAAGTCATAACAAAATTGCTTTCATATGTGATCAATTATGTCAAAACTAAGGATATGTATCTATGGTAAAAATACTATACTTATTTGGGTGGATTGGGGGGTCAGCCATTATTTTGGTCAGATTATGTGCAAAGATTGTAAAGATTCTTCATGCTATTCAGTGTGGCAAGATGCCACTGGAAATACATACTGCAGAAACTATTCAGCTACATTTGTCTGTATTGAAAGGGCAAGAAGCCTGAGAACTTGAGGCTCAACTTAGGAGATAACACATTCTTGCAAAGCCTGAACTGTTTATTATGTGGGATTTTACTAAAATTGTTCACCAACCTCCAATTTAAACAAGTTATTGGGAAAGAATTAAGATATATTGAAAAAACAAAACAGAGAGTCCTGAAACAAATTCATGTATTTATGAGAAATTAAGCTTTTGACACAGGAGATATTTGAAACTAGAGTGAGAAAATGTCAAATACACTGATAGTTTTATTACAATTTACTAACCATTGAAAAGCCCAAGATTAGAATTCTATGTCATGCTATTCACACACACAAAATATTTTTTTAAAAACCTTAAAAGCTGTAAAAGAATTAAAATAAAATAGAGACTGCTGTTAGAATGTGAGAGCAGGGCACATCTTTTTGCTTTTACATTAAAACTAAATACTTCTCTAGTATAAAAGGGACATAAATAAGGTTACAAAAATGGTTATATTTTATGTAACAGAAAAATGAATAAGATATAAGAAGTTCCTACAAATCATTTTTATGAAGTGGCAATGGATATGAATCAGCAATTTGCAAAGGAAAAAACAGTCACTGCCTGAGCTTAGAAATAATTGGGGAAATGCAAATTAAAACAATGAGATATCAACTTTTCATCCATCATACAGACACAATGATAAAATACCAGATAATATTAATCATTGGCTAAGATGTATAAAAAGGACTCTTGAAACACAGCCAAGTGTAAATATGGTTTCTGATAGCTCTGGTGCCATAATTCCTGTTGTATTTGTCCTTACTGAGGACAGTCCATAGGAGGTATACAAAGGAGCACTTACAAAGAGTGTTGTTGGGGACAGTGTTTGTAATGATAAACTGCAATCTCTGTGTCCATCACAAGGAGCTTGCTTAAATAAATTATGGCAAATCCATATACACAACATTTTGCTGCTGTTTAGAGAGATGAAGAAAATCTCTAGATTCACATGGAAAGATCTTCAAATACCCTTTGTTAACAGAAATAAATATCAACTCCTAGAATGAAATTTACCATTGTAATTATAGTAATTAATACTAATTTCAATAATTCACTCTAGAAGGTTGTGATATTGACATTTAGCAATGATATTTATGTATCATGGCTATCTGGGAGGAAAAACTCTTGGAAAAATCATTTTAGTAGCATACAATTTAATAATTGAAAAAAATGTCTATAAACACGTGTCCATAATGCACCAGGAAAATGACTGAAATGTTACATACCAAACTCTTCCTAATAACCTCTAGGTTGGGAAATTATGGCTAGGAGCATTAGGGATTTTTTTTCTTTCCAAATTCTTACACAATTTGATCTTCAATAATGAATATGCAATTATATGTCAGTCATACGGTTAAAGATATTAAAAATAAATGCCTATTATACTCATATATTATTTAAATATATTTTGTGGATGATATTTTTTGTGCTTTTCCTTGGAAAATATAGAAATCTTTTTTTAAGTTTCAGAAAACATTTTAAGCTTTTAAAAAGATATCTAAGAGAAATTGAATAGCATGTCTTGAATTCTAAGACGTTCATTTTAACATACATCATTAATTTAATAATAGCTTTTCAGAAAGCAAAACAGGACATACGATTCTATTGAGTAGAAAATGATTGTAAGATGGATTTCAACTTCACAAATGTTTTCAATAAAGACAATTATAGCAAGTGTCACTTTTTGCAGAATATGGAAATGTAGGTAAGTAAGACTGCAAGCCTGATTCTCCTCTTTTGAGAAGGCATAATAAACACAAGCTTGCAAATTGTTGAAGACCAGATTGATGAGTCTCTAGTAGGGATATTTACATGGCAAAAGACAACCTAGTGTCAACACACTGTCCCCTGCAGATGCCCACATGAGTACAGCATAACCCCCTGAGCAGCCACAAGAGCTTACCTTATTGGGAAATGCAAATTTGCTTGATTCTACTTTGCCAGGTGCTTGAATAGCAGAAAGTGGTGGAAGCCAGGTCATCTCCTGGGGGTAGGGGAGAAGAGATAAAAACAAACAATATTGTGATGCAGAGAAGACTTAGCGGCAGTAGTGTCAGGTGGCTACACACACACATGCTTAGATGAGGTATGGAAAGGACAGGAATGGATAAGGAATAAAATGATGGGAAGCCTACTTTTATGATTTATTTTCCTAATTTGAGTTTGACCAATTCTTGATTGCATGGCTATTGCCAGGTTCCTTTTATGGCTGAAAAAGAAAAGATTGTCCTATTTTCTTTTTCCTTCCTTCCTTCCTTCCTTCCTTCCTTCCTTCCTTGTACCAGGGATCAAACTCAGGACCTAGTGCTTTCGAGGCCGACACGGTGCCACTGAGCTAAATCCCTGGCCCAAGACTGTCCTATTTTCACTTCATTTAAGACCTTGAGTAAAGGAACAGTCCAGTGGTAAAAGCTCTGTGGAAAGTGCCATAACAGGAGGCTTGGACTAGATTCCAGTAAAGTTGTAAGAATTTCTGGAGGAATGTATGGAGAACCTTAATCTTAGGGGTCTTTACTGGAGGACTTATGTATAGTATTAGAAATAAATAATGAGTTCCTAATAAGATCCACACATCACTTTGGACTTCATAGCAATGTCATTCAAGGCAAAATATAAAAACATACCATGTGCATGAGAAAAGAGAATGATGTCAATTTATATAAGCCACAAATTTTATAAGAATACAACTTGAATTACATGTGCAATATTTTGTCATATACTTTTTGGCATACACTGTCACTAAACTGAGAGAAGGAGAGAGGGTTTATGTTATCCACGTCTATCATTCTCCTGTGGTTTCACCTCCTGGAAGATAGTTGCCATCCATAACCGATAATGGGGTTAAAATGACATCAGATGACCAAGAAATCAACGTGTTTACATACAATTTCTGAAGGTGTTTCTTGGCTGGCCTCCATTTCCAAACCTAAGCAAGCGTAGACACAGTAGTTGGTTCATTTTAACAAGAATGAGGCACTATTTCTCTTGCAGGGAGGACATCTGTCCTCGCTCCTTCTGGTAGGTGGTGGGATGTTGAAAAGGGATTTCAGTGGTAATGAATTTGTGCCTTCTTTCCTTGGTTTCCTCCCCAGAGCCTCAGATGGGGCAGAACCAACAGAGAGATAGAAGGGGGACAAATATGCTCAAGGTCATCCTGGGAGGCTATATCATCTCTCCCCCATCATGACACACATGTTACAGGCAGCAGGAGAGCTAAGCATATAGCTTTCAAGGTTTCTCTTCTCTCGTCTGCAGTCACCAAGGGTTTCCACGAAGAGCAAAGGAGGATCCACTGACTCTCTGTGCCCCTCTCTCCTCTACCACTTGGTCCCCAGGTTTTCACCAGTGCTTCGCTGAGGGAGTTGTTAATCGCAGCTGCCACATTTGTGTCAGAATAAAATCAGACTTTGTCCAGGGAGTCAAGATCCTATTCATTCTCAGGAGAGTGTGCCACATTGTCCAGGAATTGGTCAGATCTTACCTAGACCTTTGCCACCTAGAAAGCTTTGAAGGCAAAATGGGTTTTCTTCAGCTCCCAACCTTGTCCTTCCTAACGCCTGGTTCTTCCTTTGCACCATTTCTTCTCTTTCCACTATAAGATTTCTGATTTTTCCCTTTCATCTAAATTACTGGATAGGATAGGTATTGTTTGCCTTAAGCAGCCTTGAATCTTTGCAGAGAAAGTTAATCAGTTACAAACACTTGAACTGATTTTTTTTTTCCTCCTATGAGGAATGTTTGATGTATCCCAAAGGCCATTCCAGTCTTCATCAGCCACTCAGTAGCTTCCTTTGCAATTATTCTTTGGTTTACACAATTTAGACTGTGTGATCCTTAGGGTCCAAAATTGATAAATACAAACTAACTACTTGTGATTAAACATCAGACTTGCAAAACAATCCCAGTATGTCCATATTAACTTTGCACAAATTATTTTATGATTCTATCTGCATATCAGCATGCCACATATATAAGTTCATTCTGTATCTGGCTGTTATAAAAAATCACCAAACAATGAAATACTATTTCTGTGTGTCTTCCAGCTGCTGAGGAATAAGTGAAATCGAAAGTTCATTAAAATATAAATGATAGTACCATGAGCGACAGCCCTGCCCCATAGTCTTGACTTTGACTCTGATTTTTGGACTTGTGTCTTGAAAAATTATAACCTTGGTTTTTCCCAGTCTGCTCTGAGTTGCCTCATCCCATGCTGTCTCCCAGCCCTAGTCTTCCACTCAGAACACTAGCACACTAAATTATTCTTGAAGTCTAATATCCAGCACTAACCACCTAACAGACATCTTATTTGGCTCATCAAGAGCCTTTCACATGGTAGGAATCATTCTTAGGCCCACTATAAATCACCTTAAAATCTCAATTTGGGATCAGGCTCTCATTCTGGCTTCTGGGATCTTACACCTGGGCTGCTGAGGAACAGATAGCTATGCCCAATGGTGCACATACAGATCTGAAAGCCTGATTTTTCTGAGTTTGGGCCCTCTATGGATAGGGCACTGATGGCAAACCTTTTACACTTGACCTTAGCCAAAAGGCCAAAAGGTGATGGTAAACCTTTTAGAGACCAAGTGCCCAAACTGCAACCCCAAACTCACTTATTTATTGCAAAGTATCAACCAATTAAACCTGAATGATGCTCAGTTGCTGGGGTGACTTGGCTCATGTGCCCACAGAGAGGGCTCTGTGTGCCCACTGCAGCACGCGTGCCATAGGTTCGCCACCTCTGGGCTAGGGCAATCCTTGCACTCATCTTCTAGTTTGTCACACCTTCTAAATTCCTCAGACAGTATCTCTGCATTTTATGACTTTCCACGAGACTCACTTGGGTTCTCACCCTCTCACAACAGGTGACCTTTCCTCTACAGTCACTGAAAAATATTGAGGCTTTTGGGTCTCAATGTTCTTCAAGGACAAATTTGTTGGTATTCATGGTCTTCATGGCCAACTCCCTTCATTCCCTCTGGCCAAACTAAAGTCCCAGGCACATTCCATCTTGACTGTTCCTCTGTCCTGGGATCTAGTTTCATTGACATCCCACAGATTTGCTTTCAACCTCAGTCTTTTCTTGTCCAGCAGCTTCTTCTAGTAAGAGCAACAAACAGCTAAGGCCTCTAGTCTTTCCAGTTCTATACCCCTCCTCTACCTAGTCTTTATTTCTCTATGTTATATAATGGCCAATGTTCTTCAAAGGACCTTTTATGCTTGTTGTTTTGATACCATCTCTCCTAAAATAACCATTTCTTTTTTTTAACTTATCAACTGAAACTGTTGAAGATAACATATGGGAAACACTTAAAGCCACAAGCATAAGCAAGAACTTCCTAAATAGATTTCTAATAGCACAGGAAATAATATCAGGAATCAACAAATGGGACTACATCAATTACAAAGGTTCTAAACAGCAAAAGAAACAATCAACTGTGTAAAAGGGAACCTACATAATGAGAGAAAATTTTGCCAGCTAGTCTTCTGAGAGAAGGCTAATATCCAAGTTACATGAAAAACTCAAAACAAAAAGTAAATTAGACCTCAAATACCAAATGACCCAATCAAAAAATGGGGAAATGAAATGAATAAACATTTCTCAAAAGAAGTAAAAATGGCCAATAAGTGCATGAAAAAATATTCAATATCTTTAGCCATTAGGGAAATGTAAATCAAAACAACTCTAAGATTCCATGTTATGTCAGTCAGAATGGCTATGACCAAGAACCCTAAAAACACTAAAAACACCAAGAACACTAAAAACAACAGATGCTTGTGGGGAAAACAGGAACCCTTCTGCATTGCTGGTGGGAATATAAACTAGTACAATCACTATGGAAATCAATATGGCAATTCCTGAAAAAAAAAAAAGAAATTCCATTTGACTCAACTATACTTCTCTTGGGTATATTCACAAAAGAGCTAAAGATATCAAACTATAGTGATGTATGCATATCCACAATTCACAATAGCTAACCTTAGAAACAGCCTAGGTGCCCATCAACAAATGAATGGTTAAAGAAAACGTGGTATCCTGCTCCACTGCTGGAGGGAGTGTAGACTGGTGCAAGCACTGTGGAAATCAGTATGGAGATACCTCCAAGAACTAGGACTGGAAGTCCCATTTGACCTTGCTATTCCACTGCTGGGGATCTTCCCCAAAGAATTAAAAGAATCATACCACAGTGATATATGTGCACCCATGTTCATAGCAGTGCAGTTTGTAATAGCTAAAACTTGGAAACAGCCCAAATGCCCATCAACTGGAGACTGGATAAAGAAAATGTGGGTTTTTTTTTATAAAATGGAGTACTACTCAGCCATAAAAATGAGAAATTAGAGACATTTATAGCTAAGTGGATGCACATTGAGGCAATACTCTTAAGTGAAATAAATAGGACACACATGTGTAAATACCAAATAGTTTCTCTGGTGTGAGAAACTGAAAGTGTAAATAAGGACTAAATGTATAATAGGTCATGTGAAATAGGAAGAAAAGGGGCAAAGGGGAAGGAAGTGGGAGGCTAGGGGAAAGGATAGAAGGGAATGGGATTAATTTGAGAAAATGGAAAAATAGGAACAAAATCTTTGTAAATAGGGAGGACTGGAGGGGTTGAAGGGAGGGCTGGGCAAGGGTGAAAAATAAGAACCAAGAGAGACTATGTAAAGGTGCAAATTTCCAATGATGAATGTCATTCTATTGTATACCTAAAATGTACCAATTATTAGAATGAATAATTGATAATGTAAAATAGGAAGAAAAGGTCCAAAGGGGTAGGGGTAGTGGGAGGGGCAGGGGAAAGGAAAGAAGGGAAAGGAAAAAATGATGAGAAATGGAAAAAATGGAAATAAAGTCTTTGTAAATAGGGAAAGGAGGGCTAGGAATGGGGAAAAATAAGAACCAAGATGCATTATGTAAAGGTACAATTCCCAATGAGAAATGTAATTGTGTTGTATACCTACAATGTACCAATAAAAGAA